CATGTGTTGATATCTGTTTTAAATAACTTATTCTATTTTATTTTTCCTTCTCAGTACTAGATTGAAGCTTTAAAAGCCACCATTTTGTAGCTTGAAAATGATCACATATACACTTCAAGGAACTTGAAATTACATTTTTAATTGTGAGTCTATTTCACTTTTGCTTCTCTATTTCTATGACTGGATTGTAGCTTCTGAATCCAGACAACTCAGTTTCATAATATCCCACTCTATCAGCTGCACGATCCTTGCAAGTTATTTAAACCTCCTGGGCCTTTAGTTTCCTTATCTCTAGAATGGAACAATATTCCAAAGGACTATTATGAAGACTGAGTAAACATCTGCCAATGTTTGCAAAAATACCTGGCACTGTTCAATAGCAACTATGGCAATTTTTATCAACAATAAAAATTATCATCACCATAATTACTGTCCCACTGTCTGTTAAAAGCAAAGAATGAAGAAAGCAATACTAGTTAACAAGGCTAGAAATGGAATAAAAACGTTTCACCAGTTCTCAGTTTTGCAGAGCTGTTCACTTACCTGAAGTCCAATAACTAGTTGAAGAATATTTTCTCAACCCCTTGAATCTGCTCATGCATTGTTGAAATATGTGACTCTCTCAATCATACAACATATTTACAATAAATCTTCTTGAGTTATGTAGGTTAGTATTTTTAAAATAGTACACATTATTTATCAATCATTGACTGATAAGGAAAGTATTGATGCATGAGTTTTTCTGGACTTTTGCCATCTTTGAATCCCTAAAGATCAATTTGAATCAAGACAAAAGATAAGAAGTTTGAGCTAGAACTTAGAGGATGTGGAGTGGGGGATAGTTGAAGAGATAAGCACGGAAGAGTTATGGTTTCTAAGGGAAAGGATGTTTGGTGCTATTATACACATAAATAAGAACATGGACAAAGCAACTTTCCACCTTGGGTTGCTTATGTCCTATATTCCTTATTTCCATAAAATCTGTTAGTACACACTTCTCAAGATCATGGGCTAAAACCACATGATGATTTTGGTATCAATTATTTGAAGGTTTGAGTCATGAAAAAGTAAAAAATCAGTTCAACCTGGCAATGTAGTATAAAATGGAATTCTTTGGCAAAGCATTAGCTGTCAGAGATTGGTTTACACTACACATCCACCCTAAACATTGTAAGTTCTCAATGATCCTGACTATCCATTTTCTTTTTACCCAATCATTTGTTTTCAGGCACACATTTATTTATACAGCTTATTATAAATTTATACAAATATCTATATATCCATATATATATATTTTGTGTATACACAGGTATATCATTACAGTATTTAGCTGCAGTAATATATATATAACACACATATATTAAACTGTAATACAACATATATACTTTCAGTTATATCTGTCTACCTGCCTACCTACTTATGTAAAACCAAACCATTATTAACCTCATTTACAGAAGAAAGAAATCGGAAGAAACTAACTTGTCAAACTACAAGGTTTGTCATTGGCAGATATTCAATTTGAGCCATAACTTTCTGTGCTTTTAAATATTTTGAGCACAGTTCAGGGCCTGTGTCTTCCAAAATGCATTGTATCCAAGGAGTTGTTTCCAAAGGAAAACACAACCCATGAAATATCTTGAAAATACAACAAGATTTAGAGAAAAGTGCCCTGGGTCCGTCCCCAGGTTGTACTGATGGCTGAGTGTGTCATTGTGAGAAAAGTATTCATCTCTCTGCAGGCCTTAATTTCCTCTCGCAGAATGAAGGGTTTAGAACAGATAATCTCTAGGGTTTCTTCTGGCTCTAAAGAGGAATGGTTCACTTCTGAAAGGCATTATTTCTGCAAAGGATAAATACTTCGAATTCCAACTCTTCAGAATACAAGTTGTCATCTTCTCCTGGAGCAATAAACATTTAGTCTAGTCATCCTTCAGGTTCTGCTATGGAGCCTACTTTAGCCTTCCCTGGAGTCCATTCTTCATAGCAGAGACATTTTTATTACTTAATAACACGCAGCGAGTGCAGTTACGAAGTGATTCCTGCGTCTGCACTGTCAATCTGAAGAAGACAGCAAGTATGTTTGCCTGTCTTCCACTGAGTCCTTTCCTGGTACCTTGCATAGGACTTGGCACAGAGAAAGTGCATAACATTTGCTGACAAAAATCACTCTAAAAGAGCTCATTGCTTCTAAGCTTTCAGTAGTGGATGATTTGGATCTTACATTGCTTTCTGCCTTTCTGGTACAAAGAACTCTGCTAATGAATCTTTCATGCGATAGGAGACATCTAATTTGTTTAATTTCTTTTAGCTCCTAAAATGCTGTAGAAGCCAGTGATGAGGGCTGCTTACCACAGTTAGACAATGCAACAATGTATGCCTTTGAATTCCATCACACTTTTCATAATTTCTTAGAAATAAACTACATCTATTTAAAAAAGATTTATTTTATTTTTATTGAAAAGCTGGATATAGAGAGATGAGGAGACACAGGGAGCAAGATCTGCCATCCACCGATTCACTCCGCAAGTGACAGCAACTGTGGGAGCTTTGCCGATTCGAAGTTGGAAGCCAGGAACTTCCTCCAGGTCTCCCTCGTGGGTGCAGGGTCCCAAGGCCTTGGGTTGTCCTCCACTGTTTTCCCAGGCCTCAAGCCAGAAGTTGTAATGGAAAAGTGTGGTCTCTGGGAGTCGAACCAGCACCCATATGGGATCCTGGAGCATGCAAATTGAGGACTTTAGCCATTAGGCTACCGTGCCAGGCCCACAACTACATCTATTTTAAACCTGACATAGAAAAGAGTGTTAAACTGAGGCTTATTAAATTAGGATAAATCATGGACATGCCAACCCTTTGTACTTGATGTTCTTGGCTAGAACCACGAGCAGCAGGGTTCTACTGATGTGTCAACATTAGGCTCATCCAATCTCATGCATGTAAGGGATTGCTACGCCTTCCAGCCTGGGATGATTTATTGGTAGCAGACAAAGCTAACTGGGTGACTGGGGACAAGTGAGAGTGGGAACTGTCTCCTCTCTCTGTTGAGCACTCTCTGGGATGCAAGATCCTAGTGCCCTTGAGTAGCAGGGGATGCAGCACATGGTGGCCGAGGTTTCTAAGCAACCTCAAGGTGGTGGTCCCAGCTCATTGGCATTGAAGTTAAATCTAGGCCCGCACTGAAGGCAGACATGCTGCCTGTAGCATCCAGCAAAGAAATTGGAGTTTTCTATCTATATTTGGTAGGCTCGGATGAGAGGAGTCAGGGAGAGGTAGTGGAGAGACTGCCAAGCTGGGCTGTTGAGGGAAGTGTGGGAAGATTTGAGGGGAGGGATAAACAAGGGGAGGCAGATTGCCAACTCAGAGGCAGTTGGGTTGATCCCCTCCCTCGGCCTTCTTTCCTGCTTAAGTGAGAAATCCTGCTGGGTGTGGTGGGAGCAGAGCCAAGCAAGGAGGGATTCTGCTGGTCCAGCATGGATGGTCAGACCTGCAAGGATGTGTCTGCCAGCTGGGATCTGAGCCAGGAGAGAGAAGGGAAAGTGCAGGTAGGGGGGCCAACAGGAATAAGTGAGAGCACAAGATGAACAAGAGGAAATCTCTCATGAGGAGAAGGAGCCAGGAGACAGGAGGAGAAGAGATAGGTCAGGTAGATCCTGGAGAATCACGTCTCTGTGTTTCGCAGCAGGTGTATTTACTAAATGCCAGAATAAATCGATGTTCACATGAGACAAATAATGAGTGATCATGCGGAACACAGTGAAGTAAAGCAACTGCTCCTAGGTTTTTTCATGGGTGTTAATTTCCATGGGAATAGAATTTTCCAAAACAACACATGATGGAAGAGTTGTAAGCTACAAAAAAAAAATATTGTTATCTTCTAGGTTGAATCAGACAAACAAAAATGCTATCCAACACAGAAAAACCACGTACTACTAAATATTAGACATTTTTCAAGATACAAGATACACACAAGAGAAGAATGCTAAGTTGTTCCTCTTTCCTTTTAAATCAGATATAAAAATATAAAGATCTTAAAGGGAAATCTAGAGAGAGTAAAATTATAGATTATATTTTGAGGAAAACTTTCAGAACTTTTTAAATCTTTGGAGGCTCATGGAGAGCTAAGTGACCATCATATAAATGCTGCATTTAAAAGAATATTTATTTTTATGTGTTGACAGGTAGTTTTATATACAAGAAGATTCTCAATGTGCAGCTCACCTCCCAAATGCCAACAACAGTCAGGGCTAAGCAAACCAAAGCCCAGGAGCCAGAAACTCAATCTGTGTCACCAACAAGGAAGACAAAGACCTAAGTATTTGAGTCAATACTTTTGGCCATGAAGAAAGCTGGAATCTATCAAGTATGCAGCTTAAACCCGGGCATTCCAATATGGGTTGAGAGTGTCACAAACTGGATCTTAACTACCATACCAAACACCTGCCCTAGCAGTTACATTTCTTATGTGATGAACAAACAAGTTACACATAACCTGTGGACCAGAATCATACCCACTTTAGTGTGGTTAAGAGATGGAAGGATAGCTTGGATTAGGTGCCTAGAGGAAAGATTTGGTTACTTTATTAGATTAATTACAAATAAAAAAGATTAAGTCTTCCCTATCCCCAAGTTCTGGTTCTGGGATTCAAGGCCCTTTGCAACTTTTCATTCCTCTGCTGGGAACTCTGCCATCTATTCCTAGGAAGTCCAGACTCTCTGAACGGCATGTGATGGACCATATAAAGGAGAGTGTCCTTGTTCCAAACAAAACCATTTTATACCAGAATATAGCCAGGTGACTCCTATGCATTTAAAAGAACCAGGTCAAGATCAACAGGGCAGCTTACCAAAGTCAAGTCTGATCTTAAAGTATTCTCCTTTGCTCCAATTTACAAACTCAAGAGCAATGACTCACACACTTAGAGCATTGAGTTATTGAGTTCCAGCATCACTTCTTTACACAGCAACAGATGACTGGTAGAGAAGCACACCAAGTGACAACTCACCTGTGCATTCATATTGTAGGCCTTTCCCATAATAGCCCTTCTCACAGATGCATTCAAATTGACCTGTGTGTGTCCCACATTTGCAGCTTGCCATTCGGTCACAGCAGTCTTTACCAGCTTCACAAAGATATGAGCAGTGAGACATATCCTCTTGAACAAAGTTCCCGGACGGCAGATCTGCCAGTAGCATAGAACAAAAGGCAATAAACATGACAAGCAGTTGGACACTACATTCTCTAGTCTTTAAAATTTAAGTGCAAGCTGAAGAAAAGATCTCCTCATATCCGCCTAATTCCCAATTGCTCCCTCCCACCCAAATATGAAGGAGCATTATTTTCACTGCATACTCTGGGAATTTGTTTCAGCTAGTTAAGTTATTTCAGTCTGGGGCCTCAGCAGAAGTCTGCGAGGCCACACAGGGTCAGGCAGAAATGAAATACTTCAGTGAGGACTCTCCAGATGCAGCAGGAAGGAAGGCAGTCCCTTCTTCAGGTCATTGCCTGGCTTCCATTGCCTCTGGAGGAGGTCAGTCGGCTGCGACCAGAGCTCTAAAATCCTTGCTCAACTTAGAAATGAAGCCACAATCTTGTTTGCTATGAAGAAATGTTGTCAACGTTTAATTTTAGAACAAATACTATCACTTCTCTAGTTATTTCATTAAGGACTTACAGAATCATCTAAGCAAAATAATAAAACCAGGATCTGGTTTCTCTCCAAATTTTAAATGAACACATGTAATATAAATAGAAACCACTGTGATTATTTGAGTCATGCCCCGAAGTGGGGCTTGTTGGGAATTTAGCAATTCGCATAGGTGGTTGAGAAAGTGACGTCACAGGGTAAGTCTGAATACAACTTATCCAGAAGAGATGACTTAGAATCAGCAAACAGGAAGTCCATGTACCCTGCTGATGAAGCTCAAAAGTGCATACATCCCAGTTTTAATTGCCTGTCTCATTTCCTTTGATCTCATCACAGGTTTTAGACAGAACGAAAGCAAAAATAAATGAACAAAAGCTTAGGCTTTCTTCCTACCAAGTCAATATAAATTCAATATAAATATTTTAAAGTCCAGAAACCGGTTTAGAGTGAGAAATGTGGTGTCTTCCAAAACCAATTGCATGACTGCTACTGAAACTCCTTTCTTTAAGACTCTGTCACAGGTAGTAGCTTCTAGGTCAACTTGCATCAGAACACAGAGTCTCAATCCCACAGCGTAGAGACTTAATAGCTAATGACATCCATAACTCCACAACCCCACTAGTAACACCCACGATACTCAGCTGCAATGTCTTCTGTCTTAGTCCCTACCTAGTACTCTAAGTTCCTAACCTCCAAAACACCAACACCATCCCTCAGAGAGCTACATCCTCTGGATGTGCTGTTGGCTGTATCTATAGCAATGGCCTGATTTCTTGCTCTAAACTCTTCTCTGGGGGAAAACAGTAGAGCTAGCCCACTTGTCAGGAACATCACTCAGTGCTTGGGACTTCATATTGCTATGATTTCCCCTCAGAACGAGTCTCTCACAGGGTTCCCCGTCAGAAACAAGCTGTTCTGATCTCCTCTCAGTCTGTAATTTCTTCTCCTGGCACACCAAAGACACACACTCATATCCTGACAGGAAGTTCGCTTAAATTATGTAACTAAATATCTTTATAAATGATGTACAAAGATCTTGGATGCTTTTGCTGATTTTTCTTCCCTTTGAGGTTAGTGCTCTTAAACTTTTTTTTTATAAGTTCTTATCTTCAAATTGTTAAGTCAAGAAGCATGTGTGAAGTATTTATTACTCCTATGTCTTCCTGTATATTTCTGGAAACATTCTGGCAGGATTCACTTTGCATGTTTCTGAATGTTTATCTCATCTGTGCAGATTACTGTATTAGAGCTAAGTCAAGGCTCCCCACTCCGTGTGTGGCCTCAATACACACCTAAATTCAATCCACTGATTTTCATGATTCTAGGTGGATGCATATAGATATTTTAGTTAAAAAAATCACAACTGATAAGTAACAGAACTGTTAAAAGCAAATGCTCTTGTTGCGAGGTAGGAATTTCAGTCATGTGAGAGAGGCTCAGAACAGTCCATGATAGCCAAAGACACGGGGATATGATGCTCAGTGAAGGCTCTGTCAGAGTGTGACGTTACCCATCAGTGGAGTTCAAGCAGCGAGAGAGAAGTGAGAGAAATGACCTTTGTTATGTCATTAGGTTTCCATTACCTTCATGGAGTGCCCGACGAGCTAAAGCCTCAAATTCTTCAAAACTGTGGAGCAGGTAGCAGTGCTCCTCCTTTGGGGCAGAAGCCATGTCATTCAGTTCTCGGATGTTCCCTTGCCATATGCCAAAAGTGAAGATTTCCACTCCAAAATCCCGCAGTGATGCTGCAATTGGTCTGGGATCTCCCCCATTGGAATATCCATCAGTAATGAGAAATATGACTTTTGTTGAGTTTTCTCTAGAATGACGAAGGATTTGCTGTAAAGAAATAAGAACAGTTAGGGTGAGCTTTTGTTGGTGTTATCCTACCATGTGCTTTTTTTCCTATGTAAAGGAGTACTCATGAGGAGCTGTAGCATTTCGCAGCAAAGAGGAATGGAAGCACCGATTAGTGGACATCAAACAGAAGCAGGTACACTTAAGAGTTTGCAGCAGTCTTCTCGCTGTAGCACAGTAAGTCTCAAAGCCTTTAAAATGCAATGCCATCATCATCAGCATCATCATGGAGCTTGTCAATAAAAGGCAACACATGTTAATAGGGTGAATTTTAATTAATAGCATCACTGTTGAACTACTTTATTTATTTGAAAGGCAGAGAGATGGGCATATATGAAGAAAAAAAGACAAATTTAAAAATACAGAAACAGAAAAAAAAAGAAAGCTCCCACCTGCTGGTTCACTCTGCAATTGCCTGTAACATCCTGGGCAGAGCCAGAAGATGTAAACCAAGAACTAAAACTAGGTCTCCCAGATGTGTGGCAGAACCCCAACTACTTTAGGTATCACTGCTGCCTCCCATGGTGTGCATTGGCAGCACACTGGAGTTGGGGATAGAGCTGGAACTTGATAGTGTGTACTTTGATAAGCAGCATAAGCATGCCCAGTAGCTCCTTAACTGCCGCACCACAAATTACCCCTAAATTTTTTTTTTTAAAAATTCATTCTGAGGCTCTCAAAACATGGAACAAATCTGAGTCTTATGTATCTACTTGCAAGAATCCCTTGTCTTCATGTGTCTGTGCATGAAGATCTATGTCGGCCCATTTATCTAAATCACCACAAGATCACATAATAAGCACCTGACTGGAAGACAGTGGAACTTATCTATCCTCGAGTCAGAAATGGCTGGCTTGCTTTCTATATTTATTTTTCCACAGTTTCTGCAAAAATGTAGACTTGATTCAATCCCTCATCTTTCTTTGGACCACCCAGTATTAGCTCAAAATCTGATTTTAGTGGTGCTCTATCTTCATGAGAAAACATTGAGTCACTAAATCGGACACTTGGGCTGTATTATTTTAGGATGAGTGAATTCTGCTCTACTATGTAATATGCTAGCCCTGCCCTGCAGAGAGAAGAAAATAAAAACTTTAAAAAGTTGTTCTATTTATTCCCAATGATGTTTTGTAACATCAAACTGGAAAGGCACTTGAGCTTCAGTGGTAAATCTAACATTTTAACTGAACTGCCTGTTGCATCTTTTCTTAGGAAGTCAGTAAAAAGGGTTAAGAAGAATTAGGGTGGATTTTCTGGCAAATGCTTCTAAGAAATCCATATTTTTTAGGCAATAATTCAAGAAACTTTACATGTTTTTCCAGAAGGTAGGTTGAAAAAAACAACTGTATCACATTTTGCTAATATTAAAAGGAGATATGATTGTTTTAAAAAGTAAGTCGGCCTCAGTTCAATTTAGGGAGTTTATTCGCTTTAAGATCTAGATTATCTCAGATTATAAAATGTGTACCTGTTAAAATCAAACTCCATTAGTATGTAATCAGTAGAAATTGATAATTCATTAATCCTATCTAAATATTGTTAATGTTTGTAAGCTGAAGCTATTAAACTTGAATTTAAAGAGTGAAAGTAGACTCTAGAAAATATCTGGAAATTCAATCCTTCTAAGGAATGGAGTGCAGATGGGGGTCATGCTGAAGACAGGAAGAAAGGGCTACTTGTGTAGCAGAATATCGTGTGGATGTTAATGAAGACATTGCCCAAATATGTAAGCCAAGAGGTTCAACTGACAGTCTCCAGATTCCTCGCTCTTCACATTTAGATACGGCCTTCTTGATGATTTACAGGAAACTTGGAGTATAATGTTGGTAACTGTGATATTTTTCTATATTCCGCACAGGAAGAGAACTTCCATGGAGAGGGAGAGAGAGAGTACAAGAGACATTGGGTATAGCTGGGAGGCTCGCCATATCTCCACTCCATTACAGAAAAGATGACTGACAGACATCACTTCCAGGGGAGGGATCCATAGGTTCTCTTTCCATCTGGATATTGGGAATAGTTGCAAGTTCTACAGACGCATTTGATCACAATGACCAGAGACAATAAAGCATAAGATGTGGGTATTAAAGGAAAAGGGATGTGTTGGACAGTCTGTATTCTTACAGAGACATAGGAGAGAAAATCCATGCAACACTAATACTGTTATAGGGGTAAGACTGAACAGTATAGTGGCCAAAATGTCAGCCAAGACACTCACATGCCTCATTAATTCCTGCCTCTCTCCTGATTCCAGCTTCCTGCTATTAGAAGCAGCTCAAGTAATTGGGTCCCTATCATGCACATGGATGATCTAGACTGAGAAATTGCCAGCTTCAGCTCAGCCCAGTTTCAGCCATTGCAGGTGTCTGAAGAATAAATCAGCAGATGGGAGATACTCATTGTCTGTTTCTCTGCTTCTCCATTTTAAAAAAGACTCCTACAATATTAAGTAGTCTTATAGTAGAAAGGGTGAACTACTAGATGATACAAGGAAATATGCAAGCGCAAACTAGGTAGAGATGTTATCTTTGCTGAAAAATACTGATGCAAAAGAGATCCTGAAAGTCCCAAGAGAATAGCTGCTGAATCAAGGATGACTGCCAAAGAAAACAGAAAACATACTGATGACTGGTGGAGACCATCATGATCACTGATGCTACAACTACACACTTCAGAAGATGGAAGTGCAGAACATCAACTGGGGGGAGGACAGATCCTCTTTTGCGGCAGCCTTGCATAAGCCATGGAGCTTGGATTCATCTACATGGAGAAGGAGGGGGGGTTTGGAAAATTCCTATAGGGGACTCTATTTTGAAAAGGGAAGTGCCTGAGATACTTCTAAACTCAAGTTTTCTTGGAGCTTTCTGTCATCAGGTAGATTAGAATCTCAACAGGATACTAAATAGTGTTTAAAAAATAACAGCAGATGATAAAAACTTCATTTTTTAACATACACATCTTGTCTTCCTGATACAACCTTAAGATATTTTGGAAAGTAATTAGAGAAGATCTTTGGAATCCTGCCATCTCCACATATTTACAAGGAGCAGCAAGAGCCAGAGATGAAGACCAGGGATGGGACAGCAGGAGGTCACTTATCTAACCTCTTGCAACACAGCTCCAAGCCATTCAGAGGAAACAGACCTAGCATCTTACAAGTAAAGACAGTTCAGACAGCAGCCTGGTCTTCTTCCCAGATGTGATCTCCTTAAAGACTTTTTTTTTTCTTCCAGTTCTTCAATATGCAGGGTACAGAACAACATTTGGGAAACAGTACGTACTCAGTAAATATTTTCTGACAAAGAGTAACCACGTTGTAGTAATACTGCCACATTGCAGTTGATATTGCAAAAACCATGATGCCATCCTTATCTCTTCCCAGATGTTCCCTTAGAAAATTCCCCCAGATGACTATGGTTCTCCCATATTTTTCTGTAGTGCTTCCATTTACTTCTTGTTTTTAAATCCAGGTAGATATTTTTTGGCTCTTTGTGTGAGGAGGTGACTAATTTTACTTTATTCAATAGGATAAAAAAATTTCCTTAAAGTATTTATTAACTGACACATTCTGTTCCTGCCCACAGTTTCTCCGTTTTATTTTACTGATTTATTGATGACTACTACCCTGTTTGGGCTAGGTTTAAAGTATATTTCCATACCTTTTAGGAGAAACCTGTCATCTTCTTTTTCTTTTACAATGTTCAAGGCTAACACAAAATATTTTTTTTCAATTGAGCCACAGTGCTTATTAATTTCTTAAGAGTTTTCTGTTTAAGTCTTTGATCAAGTGATTCTACCTCTAGACGCCTCAAAAAATATTGGCTGTCATGTATGCATTTTCTTTGTTTCCATTTTACACACACCCACAAGGATCAGTCTCAGGAAATGGAATATCTCCAAAGTCCTCATTATGGTCTCCAAATACTATTCCAAAGGAACCAGGGATTCTTGAAGAAATAATTTATTTCTACCATGGACAAATAACGTACAACATGAGTTTGGGCCCTATCTCAATGACAGCAAGCAAAGGAGCTGTTAAAGGATATAAAGGCCAAACGAAGAGAGTCAGGCATTAGCCGAAACTCCTCTGGTCAAACAAAGGGCAACATAAGTATCATTTTACCAAAAATAATTTTAATGTGCTTAATCAAATCAAGTGTAATGCATATTTACATTATACTTGATATATCTAAGTGTGTTTAACATTTTTGTTAGTACATTTTCCAAGGGATAAGTCCTATTAATATAAACAATAACTGACAGAAGTGAACACACACTTTTTTTGTTGTGATTGCTCCATATTACCTCTTGGGGAACTAACAATCTGTTAGGGATGACATGAAGTGAGATCATATTTAGTATGTCTTCACAGTTATGCTTTTCCACATTCAAAGGCTACTTACTACTACTAGGACTCCAAGATGTGACATATGTATTTATATTATGCTTGCTGTTTACCGACTAATGGACTTCCCCTATGGTCTCCCTTTAAAGACATGAGCTGACCTATGTGGACACCCCCAGAGATCCCGTGCCTGTAGTAGTTTTGATTATTGTCTCTTTTACATGGTCAAGGCAACCTCCCCCACCAAAAATGAAATTTTGACAGAAAGGAGGAGAAGGCAGAAAAAGTGATTCTTTGCAAAATGATCTTGATAGTGCCTGGCACAGGGTGAGTCCTCATATAGATGGATGCCTCATATGAATGAACACACGTGTTGGATAGATAAAGTCCAGGATACTCTGAAGATAATTACTTGATGAGTTGGTCTTGTGTAAGTAGTAGGAATGTGTACCTGCATGTGTGCAATCTATTTTGCATGAAGAAGATAAACTGTTCTTTTTTGTTCCTTCATTGTCTTTCTAACACAAACACGATCTTGTGATAAGCAACTTTAGCTCATGTCAGTAATAGTGCTTCACAGCCAGGCTAAAGCTTGGCAGCCAATTCTTGCTTTACTGCTCATTACACACAAAATCGT